TGCTACACTCCCTGTCCCCCCTAATTCAGAAGAAAGCTCACCCCTAAGGAGATGGCCTATTTTATTTGCGTACTGCCTAGTTCTCAGTTGTCACTTAAATACACTCATCAGAGAATCGAAGGCTTCTCATCACAAGAGAAGAAATGACACCTTTAAGCTAAATAAAAAGAGAACATGCTGTAAGCAGGTTCTAATGAGCTTTCTCAAACTGCCCCAGTCTGCCAATACCATTCTCCCTAAGTTATATAGATTGACTTTGAGACTGAGAGAAGTGATTAGTCTCTAGATGTGTATTCACAGATTTGCTGATTAGTGACTTTAATACCCTTTTTCCACTAAAAATAAACCAAGTTATATTGCTGATGATTTGGAAAAGAGAGCAAAGAAAAAATAATTATAATCAACCACCCTAAGAAAACCATCAGTAGATTTTGTATTTATTTCTTTTTGGTCCTTTATTGGGATTTTTTTTTACATAATTTTAATTTTATTATGTATTGTGGAATGGGTATCTTCCAATCCATCCAACAGAGAAAATAATCACACATCATCATAAAAAAGAGAATAGGGACTTCGCTGGTTGTGCAGCAGTTAATAATCCACCTGCCAGTGCAGGGGACATGGGTTTGATCCCTGGTCCGGGAAGATCCCACATGTCGCAGAGCAACTAAGCGTGTGCACTACAACTACTGAGCATGCTCTCTAGAGCCCACGAGCCACAGCTACTGAAGCCCGCACGCCTAGAGCCCGTGCTCTGCAACAAGAGAAGCTACCGCAGTGAGAAGCCCGTGCACCACAATGAAGAGTAACCCCCGCTCGCTGCAACTAGAGAAAGCCTGTGCACAGCAACAAAGACCCAATGCAGCCAAAAATATAAATTAATAAAAATAAATTAATTAAAAAAAAGAGAGAATAAGCGTTCTAATAGTCACCACCTAATATTGTTTACTAGTTGTAGGCACTTGGCTAACACTTGTTATGTATCAAGTCGTGTAATCTTGATAACCCGTAGAATAACCACTTCAATGGTTCCAATTTTACAGATGTGAAAACTGAGGCTGAAAGAAGTTAAATAGCTTGCCCATGACTACATTGCAAGACAACACAGAGCTTAGACCCAAATCCAGGCCTGTCTGCTCCAAAACTTGTTCTTACATTGTGCTCAAAACCCTGGAATTCAGGGGTTCCTGTGGTCAGTGACTTCACCATCCACACACACCTCAGCTCCTCCAGAATGGCTCTTTGTGTTCAACTCCTCAACATCAGGACCCTTTACTGGTGTCTGTCCTTTCTTTTGGCCCATACAAAGATAGGTGTCTGTCTATTGATTAGGTGACAACACTGATTTATGACTTGCTCATTGCATCTTTGATCCACCACATGTAAGTCGATATTTCCTACTTAACACATTTTAAACGTGAGCCCTTTATAAGAGATTGTGAATATGGCATTCTAATTGTCAATTCTTTCTTTTTCTCTCCCTCTCTCCCCCTCCCCTCCCTTACTCTCCCCACAGTACACTCCATTTTATCTCTAAAGATGATGGTGGTAGCATCTACCACAGTGGGTATATGCGTCTGGTGAAAACCCTACTCTACCCTTCAAAAGCCTTAAGCTCTCCCAACACATGTACCCTACTTCTGATCACTTTTCTTATCTCTTGCCAACTCATGCAGTTGTAAGTTCTCAGTGAGGTCCCATTTTCTTACTCTCTAAAATGTCCATCAGAAACTCTCTTGGGGCGCCATTTTCAACCAATACTCCTGGCTACCTAGGGGCAATCCAGAACATAATCCAAGTACTTTAACAAGTATTGCTAACAACACTTTAACAATCATTGCAGTTATTGACACCTTGAGATGGATGATTAAATAGAACTCCTTTTGCAATAATTACAATAATATTGTATTTCTTTCTTTCAGCTTTATTTTAATACTATAATTTGGACAATTATCCAACAGAGTTCCTGGCAAGCATCTGGAAGACATCAATTTGAAAGATCCAAATACTAATTCCCTTATTACAAGAGAAGAATAAAACTTTTAAGGTTGCAAAATTATATTCATGTTGAAAAACCTCCAAAATACATGTCCTCTGCTATAAAAATGTCTATAATTAGTGAGTGTAATCCATATTATAAGTGATTTACAAAACTGTGAATTCCACATTGAAATATATTTTCCACCCCTCAGCACAACCCCCAAGTAACATCCAGTTAATTCTGCCCTTGGGGTATCATTCACATTTATCACTGATCTGTTGGAAGAAAACTGTTTCTCCTTAGGACATGTCCAAAAATAAAAATGACTAGTGTGCATTACAGAATGTACTTATTTTGTTCATGATGGGAGGAAGAGTTTTTTAAGAGAAGTCACAGAGTCAATTATTGTCTTAAACCTGGAGAAGACAAAGCCCATTACCGGAAATGTAAAACCTAAAATTGAGTATATACATTTTTTACTTCAAGTAACAAATCGTCTTTCTTTTTCTGTTCTACTCATTTAAAAGAAATGAAAAGCTACCCTTTTCCTGTCTCTCTTTCTCATTAACTCTCCTCTTCCTAGTGGGAAGAGGTTAAGTCAATAGGCAAAGTAACAAACCAATAAGCATCAATGAACAAGACCTCTCTCTTCCTCTCATTGAGATCAAGTGATGGTGGGGTCTTCTTTTCTTGAATTTTTGTCCCCCCTCAATATGAAATTATCCCCAACTTGAGCTCAGTGGCTCCTAAACTATTTGTTGATTGTAAACTTTAGACCTTGTGCTTTAGTCTGACAAGAGTACTGAGTGGTCCCAAAGACAAAAGCTATGACATACAGCAGTTACTGCAATGGCAGCCCACTTTTATACGTGCATATAATCATCAGATCGTGTGATTATATAACCTCGAATGGTTGAGTTCAAGTCATCAACCCAAGATTTTTGTCTATAACTCTGGGTGCTATGGATGTGGTTCAGGTGAGAAGAGTGTTGTTCCCCAAACATGATCCCATTTTTATTCCAAGATGCTTTGATGGGTCCTTGCTAAGTGCCTACAAGCTGATTCAAAGTCTGAAATTCAAAGTAAGAAGCCAGATGTAGTCAAGGCCAGCTGAAGGAGTTTCAGACTTTCTATTCAGACAGGAATAGATGTCAAAGGCCAGTACTCTGTTCCCTGCTTGGCCACTAGCTAAATGTGAGATTTCTAGGCTTCAGTTTTTGCATCTATAAATGACAAAGGTGAATTAGACAATTCCCCAAGCCCCTTTGTATTCTAAACTTTTATACTAATTGCCACTGAGAATCTCCAGGAGGTCAAAGATATTCTAACAAGGGTAAAGAATACTGTCCTGGAACCATGGATCATCCCCCCGCCCCCGACGGAAAAGGCAAACCCTCATTCAAAAAGGAATCCCCTTCCCCGGTAGACTTTTCATGTGCAGGGTTTCACAGGCCAGACAATAAGAACAGCTGTTGAAGGGGATCATGAATCTTGCCTGTTGTAAGTCCCTAAAGGCAATGAGCACGTTTTAAAACAAACATGCCTTGTTACAGCAAAGCTTGTGATGCACATTTCTTGGATTAAGTTCTTGAGATCTCTAAGTGCAGTATGCAAATAATACTAGTTGTATATCTTTTGCAATCTGAAAAATAAAAAAAAAAAAAAAAAAAAAAAAAAAAAGAATCTGTCTTTAGGCAAACCAACATATGGAGAGAAGGGCAGATGTACTTTTATGAGGCAGTTAGCCAAGTGGTTTAAGGTATGCCTTCTCAATGGAGAAAAAATTGTATTTATACTTGAACATTCCTTCTCAGGGGAAAGATGTTCTTGGTTATCATCTTTTCCAACCCCTTATCACAGACTCGCAATGAAAATGCTCATCCTTCAGGCTAAGTGATATATCCATTTGCTTACACACATATTATTATAAATATGCTAATAACATTTTGCATTAATGCAGAGGGTGAAAGTATTTTATAAGAGATACTTTAGGGTTTTCCCTGGTGGCGCAGTGGTTGAGAGTCCGCCTGCCGATGCAGGGGACACGGGTTCGTGCCCCGGTCCGGGAAGATCCCACATGCCGCGGAGCGGCTGGGCCCGTGAGCCATGGCCGCTGGGCCTGCGCGTCCGGAGCCTGTGCTCCGCGACGGGAGAGGCCACAACGGTGAGAGGCCCGCGTATAGCAATAAATAAATAAATAAATAAATAAAAAGAGATACTTTAGCTCATTAATCCTCAGGATATCGGTGAAATAGCTACGGGAAAGGGATGGTTTGCCAACTTTTTCAAATGACAGGAAACTGCATGGTTTAAGCAGTTTGCTCAGATTGGTCAAATGAGCCCTGTGCAGGGCCTGATAGGACATCGGAATGCAGACTTCGAGTTTGGACAGGTTGACACTACCCTCCTCTCATAAAAAGATTGTGACCCTCATTTGCAGTGAGTCAATGCTTTATTGTTCCACCCTTCTTGTCTGCCCTGGATCCTTCTAACAGCCTCCAGCCCATGGCCGTGGGAACCACTGGAAATGGGGAAGCAGCTGTCAGGTGAACTCAGGGAGCTTTTCCAAGCTTCACCTCCTCAGCCTCTGCTTCACTCCTCTCAATGCGTCTATGTCCTTTAAATCTGCATCTCAGCTGACCTACATGGTTTTACCCCATTTCAACGGAATGATCTCACTCCAATCTCATTTCTCCTTGCTTAATTTGAAGGCTTTTTAAAGATAGAGCCCCTAAGAAATGTTCCCCTGCCCTCCACCTCCCACACTCAACCTGCAGACGAAGAGCACTATACGCCACTGGGGCCTCCAGAATGTCACTGGTCATGACCTCAGCCTCGAACTCTTGTCCAAGGAAGGAAAAGGGACAAACAGAAAGCCACCAAGTTAGTGACGACAAACCCTGGCTCCCTTGGAAGGCTGAAGTCCCCACCAGGATGACAGGGTCTCCTGAATGTTTCCAGGAAAACCTCAGAGAGCCCCTTCAGTTGGGCCGCCATAAGGCTGTAGAGAGGAAGTTACCATGAGGGCGGTGTAGGTGTAGGGATAGTGGTAGGCCAGGTAGCAGACATCCTCGGCATGCGGGAAGGTGACGGCAAAGGTGAGGGTGTAATAGCACTTCCCAGACTCTGCCCCTGTGATGGCTGCGCTCTGGCGATAATGATTTCTACAAGAGAAAGGAGACGAGACGAGAATGAGGGAAAGCTGGGGAAAACAGTCATTTAGGGTTCGAGATGCCATAAACCTTTGGTGTTATATACTAGCAAAACGGCCTTCACTTGAAACACCTGGTGAGCAAAATTTAGAAAACGGAGAAATAGAGAAGTGAGCTTACTGCCAGGTCATGAGCCCAAATCACCCAACACCTGGGCTAATCCACCTGTCTCCTAATTGTGGCATCTATGCCACAGGCCTTTCCTTGCTGTGTCTGAAAATGAAGGCTATAGAGTCACTGAACTAGAAAACAGAGGAAAATGTGAATAATTCTGTTCTTCCTGGGATTTTATTATAGACATATATTTTATTACCCAAATCTGGGTTCCTCAACCCCTCCCTCTCTCTAGATAACAGAGTCCAGCTCCTCCTTTCCTTTCTGTCTGCCAGCTGGTTTATTAGCAATCACTACTCTATACAGAGTTCCAACTCAACACAATGTATGTCATCTTGTTATCACCGTAACAACCCATTGTGTGGATGAAAGAACAAAAGCTTAGAAAAATCCATTTGTCAAAGGTCAAAAGGCTAATAAGTGGCCAATATAGGACTCAAACCCAGATCTGCCCGCAAGGCCTTTGTTCTTTCCACTACACAATACTTTCTTCCCAAAGGAATACATTTGTCACCCCAAATGTGGTTCAGCTTCTTACAGCTTGAGAATGCACATTTTCCTTTGTCAAAGATGAAGAACCAATGTTGATACTTCAGAGGACAGTATCAAAGTAATTTGCACCCAGAAGTACACTCCAAGCAATATTTTCCCCATTCACTGCCAGTTACACTCACTCCTTGCCTCCTGATGCAGATACAGCTGTGCAGGCTTTCCTGAGAAAGGTAATCATCAAGGCTGCATTATAATGCAAAATACACCAGGACACCAAAAGATGTAATTTCACCTTTGAACATTTACAATGTTGGCTTTCTTGTCCATTGTGCTTTGGGGTTTCATTGGGGGAAAGGGTGGGGAGAGGGAAGAAATAGCAGATAATTATTCTGTGCGTTCTTGTAAATCTAAAAAACATGGATTATTCTTTTCTGCCTTTTTTGCTACCTTCATGACACCTCCCACCAAAGCAAAAAGATCAAGTGAGCAAGAAAGGAAGAAACAGAAAACCTACTGTCTGGTTTTGTGGTTTTTTTCAATAGTCATAAAACTAAGAATGGGAGTAAGAGAAATTGGTAGTTCCATGGGCTATGACCTATCAGGCTATACATTTCTCTTGTATCAGCTTCTGCCAATATGGCACCCTGGATCCTTGGTCATCCTAGGGAAAGAAGGAAATCCCCAACGATGTACCAGCTTTTCAGCAACCTATTAATAGGACCCATATCCTTTGTGACTACAGGACTAGAAACTTCAAAAAGGCAACTTTTTTTTTTTGTTTTTCCTTGACTGCACTGCTCTGCATGCAGGATATTAGTTCCCTGACCAGGGACTGAACCTGCACCCGCTTCAGTGGAAGCAGAGTCTTAACCACTGGATCACCAAGGAAGTCCCCAAAACGGCATCTTTACCCATGGTGCCATCTGGATCTTGCTACCTAATTGAGTCTATTTTCTCCAGATTTCCCCAAAGTTCTATAGTTTCTCCGGAGCTAAGGCTCTGATTATTAGCAAATATGTAAAGAAGCAGATGGTAACTCAGAAAGCATGCAAACCACATATGCTCTACCTTTATTCATTCTGATTTCAAGGCTCCACTGCAATCACACATTTAGTTTACACCTAGCTGAACCTAATCAATTACACCTCTCTTCTAAGTGAAATGAGCCAGTCAACATTTTGGTCAAATGGTCAACATTTTGACAACCAATCAGAATGTGGAATAGAGCTTCACATGCACGAGTGTGAAAACACACACACCACACATATATATTCATGAAGGTAAAAGCAGGTGGAAACATACATCTAGTGCCTTGCCATCCCCAAGTTTTTCACCTACATGCAGTGGAGACAGAGCCTGCATCCTTCCTCAAGATTAATAAGATGCCCCCGAGGCCTGTGGGGGTGGTCTCATCTGACATGAGCCTTGCTTGTTTTTAGGCTTCCCACTGTACTAAGTACACTGAAGTCACATCACAGGCACATTCATCCTAAGCAAATTCTATGCTACACCACCAGCCACCAGAGAGAACAAGAGAGAGTAAAAATAAGAATATGGAAACTAGCTGACCGGCCGACGCGCGAGCGAGGCGGAATCTTGAGTCACAGCCATGTTCCTGGTTAACTCGTTCTTGAAGGGTGTAAGAGGCGGCGGGGGAGGCGGGGGCCTACGGAATGTGCTCGGAGGCCTGCTCAGCCGGCCAGAGGCGGCGGCGGCGACGGCGGCGGCGGCAGAAGAGAAGGAAGCAATGGCGGCGGCGGCGGCAGCCGCAGCGGAACTTCCGTACGCATCGTGGGCGGGGTCATTAGCGCCATTAGTGATGCGGCTGCGCAGTACAACCCAGAGCCTCCGCCCCCTCGCACCCATTACTCCAACATCGAGGCCAATGAGAGTGAGAAGGCCCGGCAGTTCCGGAGGCTCTTTGCCCAGCTGGCTGGAGAGGACATGGAGGTCAGTGCCACAGAGCTCGTGAACATTCTCAACAAAGTCGTGACCCGACATCCTGATCTGAAGACTGATGGTATTGGCATTGACACATGTTGCAGCACAGTGGCTGTTATGGATAGTGACACGACCGGCAAGCTGGGCTTCGAGGAATTCACGTACTTGTGGAACAACATCAATAAGTGGCAGGCCATATACAAACAGTTTGACATTGACCGTTCAGGGACCATTGGCAGCAGTGAACTCCCGGGGCCTTTGAGGCAGCAGAATTCCGCCTGAATGAGCATCTCTACAACATGATCATCCGACGCTACTCAGATGAGGGAGGGAACGTGGACTTTGACAACTTCATCAGCTGCCTGGTAAGACTGGATGCCATGTTCCGTGTCTTCAAATCTCTTGACAAAGATGGCACTGGACAAATCCAGGTGAACACCCAGGAGTGGCTACAGCTGACCATGTATTCCTGAACGGGAGTCCCAGACCTGCCCCCTCATCACCTCGCTGTAGGAGTCACCTTGGACTCTTCGGTCTCCCCCAGGGTTGATCCTGTTTGCAGTCACATCTTCATGGCTCCTGCTGACCCACAGGCCTTTCTGTTCTCCTAGCCCTTGGCACCCGGATTCTCAGTCAACAGCCAGGGCCCAACATGCTTCAACACACCCTGCCCCAGCACACCCATCTCACATCTACTCCATAACCCCTCTCTTGCATCTCTGCCAAGCCCAACGTTTGTGTTACTTGCACACCCCAAGGGCCCTTCTCTCAGTTCTGGATCACTCCAGTCCCTACACACCCTGGCACACCCATTCAGTTACCACCCAGGCATCTGAACTCCAGGCCATAACAGGCCACATGCCCCAGTGTCTTTGTCTGTATTCTGCTCCCAGCCTGCCAGGCCCAGGAGGAAATAAATTCACCCTAGTTGCTGCTCTCTCTGAAAAAAAAAAAAAAAAAAAAGACTACGAAATTCCCATCCCTAGGCTCTTTCCACCATTCAAACCAAAACTGGACGCCAGGCAGGGAACAGCTACAGTGAAATGGAGAGAGAAATAAAATAGAATAATTTTTAGCTTTTGAGCTTCTGTGGACCAAGGTTCTAGTGATTTAAGGAAAGTTTAGAATGGTAGTTTGGGCTATAAAATCTACCTCCTCACCCTCCCAAAACACACACAGACACACACAGACACACACAGACACACACACACACACACACACACACACACACACACACACACACACA